CCCACCCTGTCCCAGAAAAATTTGATCCATATATTACTTGCTGTAGCGGAGGGGAATAGGAATCAAACGATAAAAATTGGAGTGCATAACAAACGGTCAAACTCCTCCACCAAACGTAATTGTCAGCTACGCTTTGCTGTTGCCGCAACTCCGTTCGGCAGGGTCTCGGTTTGCTCTGCCGGTCGAGCACCCAGAGACGCCCTGAGTCAGGGGACAAATAGAGTAAAACATGTCTTCTCACTGTTGCACAGCCGCGGGTTGCAATGAACAGGTCCCTGACAATCGTGCTGGTGGCCGCCGCGGTCGTGGTCCAGACTCTGGTCGCGCTGCCCAGCGCGGAACGGGACAGCGATGCGGATGAATACAAACTGCCGGCAGATCTTCTGATCGGCGCCGGTGTGTCCGCGATTCAGACCGAAGGGGCCTGGGACGAAGACGGTAAGCAAACGAATCATACCGTGAACGAGTCTGTATCTGCTGAATGCTCACTGCTGTACTATTCTTATTGCAAACTATACTCGTTGCAACTTTGCAAAGAATTCTATAGCTTTGCTTGAATAGGGTATCCCTCTAGAGCGCGGAGCGGAACTAAGAAGAACAAAAGCGGATACAGAGAGCGGTCGTGGGGGCGGGCGGGGAGGCTCCCCTAGCACCCGCCGCTCCCCCGCGCGCCTGCCCCCACGACCGCTCTCTGTATCCGCTTTTGCTCTTCTTAGTTCCGCTCCGCGCTCTAGAGGGATACCCTATTGCAACGCTAGTCCAGATTGTCAGGTGCGACTGTAAATTTGAATACAGTCTGACCGTATTCTAAAATACAGTGGACACTGTACCAGGTGGTGATAGGGTGGACTGTCAAATTTAATACAGTTTTTGTTTATATATTGTTGTTGTAGTTGTGACGTAGAATTTCTGAACATATTACTGCACGTAGGTTTGTGAGAAAATGCGCTATATATATGAGAGCTCTGCAGCGAGCGGGCATGTGAAAGCGGGCGTCCGAAAGCGATAGTGCACAAGCTCGCGCGGCGCCATAGCTCCCTCTCACTCCAATCCGCTTTCGGACGCCGAGCAGTTCTCTGCGAATGGGCCACTTTTGACATTTGTATGTCGAGAAAAAAAACATTCAGTTTTATCCAGATTTTCTTCTGGTATGTTGCTTACTGCCGTCCCTATAGATACAAGATTTCGAAGATCCGAGCTCCCATTTATAAGTTACAAAATTACCCTATAGCATCATAAGGGATCCTTATAATGCTTACGGATCTCACTGCAATCCGTTATGTGATACTTTTACTCAATTTTTGCAATAACTGGTGTTTTGCGATTCTCACGCTAATGGGCATGATAACTCCAAAAAATCTGATACTTTTATCACATTTTTTAGAGTTATCGTGCCCATTAGCGTGGGAATCGCAAAACACCAGTTATCGCAATTTTTTGTGTTAAAAGTATAGCAAAACCAGACTCAGTGTCTTACTGGTTACGGATCTAACAAAATCGTATAAAATCTGACATTTTAGACGAACGAGCGACCGATCGGCAAGGGCGAGACGTATTTTGGGTCAGGTTCACAACACGGACACAACCCCGTCTCAACCTCAATCTTGGTATACATGAAAAAACTTCTATTGTTTATTTATAGATATATGATAGATAGGGCGGGGCCCTACTCTCGGGCTTCTGTACTTCTTTTCAGTTAAACACACATTGTATATAATATTATATATTGTATATATGTATATTGTATATAATAATTCGGCTAAAATCGTTCAACCGGTAAGTCGGTAATCACCGTATATTCGGTGAAAAACCGGATTTCAGTTAACCGGTTTTTACAAACAGGACACCGGTTAATCGGTGACAGCCAAAATACCGGTTAAAACCGAAAAACCGGTTCACCGGAACAACCCTACACGGATCTTACACTCTATGCTTACACTAGCAGTTTTTAGGTGTTCTAGTCAGTCTAGGCGGCGAACTAGACAAGCCTCACCTGCGTTTGAAGTGTCGTCTGGCAGAGGAGACATAACTTTATCTAAGGGAAGTTTCTTGGTAGTCGTATGTTGTTTTGCGGTAGAAAAGTGGCAAAAACTGGCTTTATGACTTTTGTTACCTTTCCATGGAGGACATTTTTTGAGACAGTCGTGTTAAGACATCTGTGACTTTCTGGAGACGGGCCAAGTGTGAGAACATAGCCTCATGTGTGTAGAACTCGACACCACCTGCGGAAATCAGTTTTCATATCCCCTTTCGGCGTACAGAGAAGTTTAAGTCCGAAATCAGGAGTTGTGGACATGCAAAATGGTTACGGATCCTACATTTTAGACCCTCTCCGTTACAACATCTTTTGAGGGGATGACTTTACTGTCAAGGTAACATTTGTTTTCTGTTTAGTTAGTATGAAGACGCAGATATAGCAAAAAAATCGTTCAGATCGGTTAAGAATTCGATGAAATAGAGCGTGGACACGAAAGTGACCCATTCGCGGAGAACTGCTCCGCCCTGTAGGTATCCGATGCCTGCTTGCTGTATTGTTCTTGACCTTAATGTATCTTTTCGCGTGATATTTTTGTGAATTAGCCTTTTAATCATTTCTTTTATAATTGAACACAATTTTTGGCGTAGGCGCTGGGCAGCGCGCGTGGGGGGACTACTCAGAGAGCAAGGTGTCTATTGCTGCTCTGGTACCTGGGCGTGGGTGTGGAGCTGCTCAACAGGTGGTGTTGAACCATGTCGCGCCCACCCCCTTCTGTCTGTCAGAAACGGGTCCATTTAAATACATAAGTTTGACTTCTTTTGCACCTACAGGTAAGGCAGAGAGCGTAGCGGACTGGGTCTTCAACGTGCTGAAAATGGAACCAAACAATAAAGTAGCAGCAAATTCCTACCATCGCTACAAAGAAGATGTTAAAATGGCAGCTGAGCTCAAAGTAAGTGTTTTAACGTCAACTCAGTGCGTTAACTCTCCGGAGAGCACCAACGTGGCCACCTGAACATTACAAGATGCAGTTGGGTGTTTTTTAGCCCGCCCTTCTGCTTTGAAAAAGCTATCCAGCGGGCTTATGCAAACGACCTCGTGT